CCAGTGGGATGGGGGAGAAAATAAAAAAGAAAAAAAACCCCAAACACGTAGGTTGTGTAATAGGACAGATAAGGAAGAAAATAATGGTAATATCAATATTAATAATACAAAAATAATAAAATAATTAGAATATACAAAACAAGTGATACACAATGCAATTGCTCAATACTGGACATGATGTTATATGGTATGGAATGTTCCTTTGGTCAGTTGGGGTCAGCTGTCCCAGGTGTATCACCTCCCAGCTTCTTGGGCCCCCCTCCAGCCTTTTTACTGGCAGAGCATGGAAAGCTGAAAAATCCTTGACTTAGTGTAAATGCTACTTAGCAACAGCTAGAACTTCGGTGTGTTATCAACATTCTCACACTAAATCCAAAGCACAGCATTATACTAGCTACTCGGAAGAAAATTATCTCTCCCGATACCAGGACACATATCTGTAAAAGCTTATAAAATAATTGCATAGGAAAACAGTATTGAGAAGTTTTTCTGCAAACAAAACTCTGTATGTAGCTTCTTAGATTCAAAGAGGAAACATAAATATGGCTTAGATGGAACAAAATTTAGCAGTGAACTTCTACATCTTCCATCAGACCCAGTCTTACCTTTTTTTATAAGCAAATACACAAAAATAAATGAAAAACTAGATTTTGCAGTGGTTTGTTAGGCTATGTATGTGATGAAGCCACAGTCCACTGAAAAATATCTTCCAGGTCTTTGGTCTGTAATAGATGTGCTTGCACTGATCATTAAGTCATTAGCTTAATTATTTTCATAATAATTTAAAAAGTTCGACTCAGGTTAATAACATCCTTATGGAACATGCAGTGTAGAGAGCTTCTGAAATGGGAGACAAAATAATATTCTTTAGATAGTCTGTATTTCTGAAATTTGCTGTACACTCATTCCTGCAAATTAACAGGATGGCTACCATCAAGTTAAGTGCAAACAAATTCTAAGAGAAGGTTAGTGGTTATTCCTGCTGTGTACGTACATTTTTAGATTAAAATACATTGATTTTATTCCAGTCTTCATCTTAGTGGTTGATGGGTATTTTAAGGAGTACGGTAATTTCAGTCTTTCCTTTAAAAGCTTCTCACAGCAGGACGTCCTGAAAATGTTGCAAACACGAATGATCAGCGAAGTCTTCAGAAAACTGTGTAGTCTTTGTAAGTGGTTTTGTAATGACTAGTGTAGTCCTTCGAATATATTGTGCACAGTTACCACCCTTACATTCTGTAATGACAATCTATTTTTAATAAAGCTATTTAGCTTGGTTAATTAGTTAGTATTATATCTCCTAGTCTGCTGACTAATCTTAGAAAATATTTTAGACCATATTAATTGAAAATGAGGCTGCAAGATTAACTATATATGTATATGTATTCTGACTTTTTATCAGCATTATACTTGAAATAAAAGTCTTTTGAAGAATACGGAAGATCTGCCTGTTGATGCAAGTCATGGAGCTCACCTGTATGGAAAATAGTGGTAGAAAAAAAATAGACCATGGAAAAATGGAGAATAGCCCCTACCAGTAATCTCACAAAGGAAGACTGATATAAACCTTCATTCCCAGTTCTAGTTCAGTGTCAGTAGTATGCGATTTATCGTATCCATTTTTTTCCTTGATGCTTCTTGCAACCTTTGAAGCTTCTTTCTCTACAATTCAGCCCCATGTTGTGGTACAGCTTCTCTTCACTGCCTGGTATATCTGGAAGCTTTCTCATCCTTGTCCTCAGCTTCTGAAGTCTCAGGTCAAAGTAGATCATTGTTAATCCCACCTAAACTGGTACATTCCTACTACATTGTTCTAAGCAAATGTAATTTACTCCTGGAATTTACAAGAGATTTTTCCCAGCTTTTCTAAGAATATAATTGGAGCGAATTGTAAAGCCAGCACAGATTCACAAATATTCTCAAAAATATTACTTGATCATACTTGTATAATCCCCTTTCTGGGACTTGTCAGCTTTGCATAGGTGAGGCCAAGTGGACTGCATAGTCGTGACCTCAGACTATGATCTGCTTCTGATTGAACTGTATAGTGACCTGCAATAGGTCAGAGACTTACTCTGTGTCCAATACTAAAAATACATGCATTTAATTCTATCAATTTAACTCTATCACACTGTTCCATAGTAACAGGTTTTTCTGTTGGTGGTCTGGAGAATCTATTTGTTATTTTAAAGCACATAGTTAACCATTAATAACAACTTGATGCTCAAATGTAGTTAATACCCTCACATTCAGATGCTGACAACAGAAAATTCTCAACTATATTCTGTATCAAGACGTAACATCAACTCTCTTCAGCAGAGCTGATCTTTTTGAAGTCTTGTTATGAGTTTTGAGTCCCATTGTATGCAGATAACCTGCCTAAAAACCTGGACAGTTATTTTGAGTTGATTGTAAATGATAAGTGCAGATTATGATGTCCAAACAGGTATTTGAAAGTATTCTCAAGTATTTTTCTTTGACTTGAATGTCATTATGAAGGACTGATCTCTCTAATCAATGGCAAGTTTCTTTCCAGGGCCCATGCTGGATAATTTTTTAGTTCCTTGTTTGGGAAAGCTGATGTGTGTGCTTACTTCAATCCACAATCCTTCTCATGCTGCAATCCCTTCTGCCCCTTAGTCAGTCAGTCCTGGCTCCAGACAAGCCGTATTCTTTTTGGTGAAGAGCCTCAAAACTCAAGTCTGCTCATATCTGACTCAAGGTCAGTTTGAGAAGGTTTATTGTGGAAACAGCCCTCTTTATCTGATGACATGAATGCTGAATATTAAGTCTACAGTCAGGTTCTTGATTATCAATAAGACCATCTATGCTATGTTCAGGGGACCAGATTTTCTGCTCCTAAAATGGTACAGTCCAGCAATAATTCTGTGATTCTTATCCCTCTAGGTTAACTGCTGGAGCTGGAGAAAACTGAGCTAACAGTTCAGGGTATCTTAGTATTCTCTTGGTGTTCGGTACTTTCATATTCTTGTGTCTCTATCGGAAAGATTTGGACCCTTTTGAGAACATGGTCCTGCAATGGATCTTAAGCATGTTATCCATGAATCTTTGCTGAGCAATCTACTTCAATCAACATCTGATTTGCCTTCCATTATCTGATGATGAGGATGTTTTTCTTGATGATTGTCACTTTTACGAAATGAGAGAAGTCTATGTAGCATACTCTTTAAAATGTCCTATTCCATGTAGGTAAATTTGTCTTCAGAGTTCATTCTAAATTCATATCTAATGTATAATTAGTTTCATTTGAATTACAGAATGAGCTTTCCTGTTTGTTCTTGAAGTCACAGACTTCCAGAACTGAGACCTTCTGAATGTTAGAACTTTGTCCTTTTATGATGAGTGAACAAGAATCTTGAAGAAAGGACATTGCTTCAGGTCTCTAACTGAATATTACAGAGGCACATGCTGTCTCCCTGGGTTGCTGCTTTGGAGAGGCTCTTGAAAAGCTGCAAATATGGAACTGCCTGCTGGTGTAATCAATGCTGTTGAACATCAGTTGACTTGGAAAATGTCTCATCTGAACTGCAGCCCAGAGTTCTGAGTTCCCCCTTCAAGAAGGGTTAATGTTCTGGTGAATTTTATTTGGGATTGTGTGGCATGTTGGAAACTGGTCCTTCAGTTTTTATTCAAGTAGAGAAAAATATATTCTTATCCAAGTAATGGTGATCTTTGGGAAATACTGCCTGGAGTGACTCACAGTCTAGATAGGTATAGATATATAGATATAGATATTTGATGTCAAAGGAGAAAAAAGGTTATTTACCTATAGCTGCTGTCCTTTGCATTGTATTGTTTATATGTGCATACACAGCCTTCCTCTCTTTGTGTTTGTATGATTTTTCCATTTATAATTATAGCAGAAACTTTCATTTTGCTGATAGATCAGTAATTACACCACAGACTATGCTGCACTGAGCTTGGTAGTAGGACTAAACTTTACTCTTTTCATCTCCAGTACAGGAGGTATGCATAAGAAAAAGAAAGAGAAGGAAGTAAAATATAAATGGCGTGATTTGGACAATGAGAATAGTTCTTTCATTTCAAACTGAAGGAGCTTTCTGGCTGCCAGTTGATGAAATGGAAAGGTTTCTAGAAGTTGACTTCTAGATCCAGTACAGGGTAGATCACTGTATCTTAAATTGGTAGTTTTAAACTTACTGTTAAAGAATTTTAAAACTTTTTTTTTTTTCTGTTTAGTTAATTTACCTGGATTTTGACTTTAACTTTTGACTGTCTTCCACAAAATACCTACTCAAACCAGAGATTTCCCTGAATTTAATGTAGGGTATTTTATACTAACAATTTAAAAGCCTTCCTTTCTAAACATCATTCTCTTCTTCCAGTAGCAGTACATAAATGACATTAACAATAAATGTATCAAGGCCGAGTTTTTGTCACTTACATCCACATCATTACACAAACTTTTTTTATGAGTATGAATGACAGCAAAATTTTATTTGCCATTTTTTACTACATCTCACTATATCCACAGTGTCAAGTTGATTCTTTTCCACTGCTGTTATGTTGAACTATATACGTGGGGTTTTTTTCTGTTTTGGGGGAAGAAGGAGTTTTGCTGGTATAAACAGTGAATTTACATTTGGTTACAGATAATGATTAATACTGATGGCTGATCTCTTTCTAGAGCAATGCTATATTGATACAATGGCCCTGAAGTTAACTCATAGGAATATAGTTTTAAAAGGATAAATTAATAAATCTCATAGTGTTCAGTTGTTCACTACAGACCCCAGTCTTCCAGGTATGCCTGCAATCAGCTTGAACAATATATATCAAAATTAATAAAATCAGGACAAAAGTGATTTTAAAAAAATGGAAATTGAACAGAAGAGAAAAGTAGAGTGGAAAAATAAGACAGAATTGTGTTTTCAAAATAGTAACATAATAAATAGTATATTGTATGAACTTAAGCAGCATTTCTGAGAAATAATGATTTTTTTTTCTATGGGATTCAGAGATCCCTGTTAATACTCAAGTGAACCCATACCTTGTGCATGCTAAAGAATGTACTCAACCAGTGAAATCTGGAGAGTATAAACTGAGAAACATTTTAAAAGTGCGTGACTTAGCAGTGAGCTGGTAGGAACCATTAACAGTACATTAATTTTATTGTTATATACCAGTTGAGCTTTATTTTTCAACAGGTCATTTAGAAGCATTTGCTTTAAATAAATTTCTGAAAAAGTACTGGCAGCAGTCAGGGGGACATTCCTTCTGAGGAATGTGAAAGTGGAATAAACATGAAATTTAGTGGGAGAGTAGATACAGTAAAACATTGGGCAGAACTGCTTACAGAATATGAGATTCATCTTTTATGTAAGAAGGGTTAGATTTGGTTAGTAGATATAAAAATGGCAACCAGAGATGACTATAAACTCAGGTTCCAGAAAACTGAATTATAATGCTGAATATTTTTTGCGATTTGTATTTGATTGCAGTTTATTCCTGTGGGTCAAAAATCAGAAGAGTTTAAATTTAGATTATCTTGAGCGTGCAAATAGCCTGTAAGCAATGACATTTCAGGGCTTACTGCCGCTCAGGAAGACTAAACATTAAAATATTTTTAAAAAATATGTTAGAGCTAGTAGCAAAGTTCAGACAATTCCGACATATTGTCTAGGTATGAATATATTTTAAGATTAATTTTTTAATTAATCAATAGTTTTGTCATTCAAATAAACTTTATGTAGCTTGATGCTGTTTTCACTGCACTCAGACTGCTAGTAGATTCCTTCTGAAGGTATCTCTGTAAAGAAAAACTGTATTCCAACAATTAATTTTAGAAGCTTAATTTCTTGTTGCATCTAAGAACGTAATCCAATTTAGGCATTTTAAAAATAAAAAAAACTTGGGCAATGTATTTCTCATGCAGATTAACTGTTTGACAATTGACTGACTTGTTAACAAAAAAATCATTGTTATGAAGAAATAGAGTAGTACACCACATAAACAGTACACAAAACCAGAGCCAAGAAAGCAGTGCTGATGTGAGTATAAGGTAAACCTTCTCTGTGAAAATGGAAACAATATTTACACATTTAATAATTACAGCGCAAAGGTCACAGATACTTTTGTTAGGTGGCTGCCCATATTTTGTAATAAATATCCAATTTTGTAATAAATAATTGGTCTAGCTTGGGTAGTCTTCTGCTTAGTCTCTCAGATGTTCAGTTATGGTTTTCTGCCTGGCTAATCCCAAACCTGTATTTGTAAGGAAATATTTTGAAAAATTTTCTCCTGTGTCATATAGTCATATTGGTCCAGTCATGAAAGAAAGCTTGAAACTGGTGTGTCTCTGCTGGTCCTCTGAGAAGACTGTAGTAAATCCATCCAAAATATTTGTGTGTTTATCTGAAGAACAGTAGGTTCAAGAATGGTGTGTGGTTAAAAAAAAAATAAATAAAATCTGGAGGAGGAGGAAGACACTTCCACAGTTGGCAAGATTTTCAGTGAGTCAGGTGGAATAATGATAAAAATGTAACCTCTATGGACTACATCATCACAGATGTACATTCATGACAGGCTGCAGGGGGGCAAGTCTAAAGTAATCCTTTTACGTTAATGTTTGCCATGTTAAAAGTTTGGCTTTATCTGCAGTAGGAAGCCAGGTTTGAGTGGCAAATTATGTTTGAATGTTGTTGCAAACCACTTGTGAATGTGAAAATCTATATTATGTAATTGAAAATAGTATAATCTCATAGGCGAGTCGAGAAAGGACACGTCTACTTAAATTTTTCAGTTATCTTATATTTGAACAATAACAGATAAATATCATACGTGTTCATGTAAAACTGTTTCTTGCATTCCTTATCTTTCATCAATTATATTTTTATATCTTAATGAAAGCATTATTCTAGGTTCTTATATCCAGTGCTTCTAGTTTTTTCCTAGAAATGATACTTGTATACTGGGGAATTCGAAGTGTTTTCTTCAATTAGTAGCTGGATATCACACCTTTAAGAATACGATGCCACTTTAGAAAAAAAATTACTAGAATAAAAATTAATTGGATGTCTTTAAACTTGTTTGGAAACACTAGAACTTGCTTGGAGAAATAACAACTGAGCTGAAAAAAACCCAGCAAGGATGTATATTTAATTTCATATACTGGCAATAAGATGTTGACTTTCTGTAAAAAAAAAGTAAGAGCCTGGGGTAGTGCTCTAAAATTAACTGAAATGCTTATTTAAAAAATGTAAAAATACGAAAGTATGTAAAGAACAAAAGAAGAATTTTAAAGTGTTCTTGAAAACCTGTAAACAATGTACTAGAACTTTTCATTTGCTTAAAAATATCCGTGTACATGGTGGACTGTAGTTTCTATACTGTGTTTGAAAAAAAGCATTTAAAGTTTACAGTCATTTCAATTAACAGAGCGTTTTTCCAATCTGAATGCCAGTATTTAAATTCTATCTTTTTAAGTGATTGCAAAGAATTACTGTCTTTTGTTTCGCTTGTTAATGCTAAAGGCTATATTGCAGTCTGGTTTGCTGAAGGTAAGCCTTTTTTTTTGACAGCATGTCCCAGTATGACAGTATGGGTTTTTTAACACCCTGCCCAATTTCAAAGAAATTTGACAGAGGTATAACAGACTCAGAAGTCCTGAGGTACCATGTGTTTCAAGGAAACGGATCTCCACGTGGAAGAAAGGGTCACTTTAGCACCCTGTTGGCTGCAGATGGCCAAGAATTCAGAGAGGGGAGAGAAACTGTGAATACTCTGTTTTTTGGGGGAAGAGTTTCAAATGGAGCTCATACCTTATTAGATGCTACAGAATCCAATTTCAAGTCACACAGCTAATGCACAGAGCTTGGGTTATCTTTTTCGGTTTGACACACCAGCTACTTGGTCCTGAATCTGGCTTTCCTTGAAAGTCCAAGAGGTTATTAAATGCATAAATTGAGATTTTTCAGAGAAGAAGGACTTAGATTAAATTACCTATATGGGAAATTAGATAAAAATGCCCATTTAAAGAAATTCTGAACTTCCACTAAATGCATTTATAGTAAATATGATTGTCTATTTGCTTTCATAGACAGAAGGTGGAAATCTGTATCCGCTAGATGAGAATTCTTTCTTGTAGTTCATAGGATAGATGGAAAACATTCTATTGACTTAGGAAACCAAATTTGCTTTTTTATGATTTAGGTTTTTCTCATCAGAACCAGTGTATTAAAAAGACAGATCAGAATCTGATTCATGTATGTGTATTACTAGATTCCTTTGCATTTCTCTAGAAATTGGAGCACCTGCAAATCCAAACTCAGTTTTTACATGCCTTGAAGCTGATGTAGATTAATTCTTTACACATTTATCAGTATTCATTGAAACTTGTATTTGTGGAGGGGGAAGAAATAATCCCTTGGGAAATCATGTTTGTTTTCAGCTAAGCTGAAAGTTTCCAACTTTTCAAATCATCACATAGGCATTCCTCGTCTGCATTAAACTGACATTTCTCCAGTGTCCTTGTGAATATCCTGGTAAACCTTACTCTGCCTGCAAGAATCACTGCAAGATCTATAATGCCTAAATGATCTTCCCAATTTTACTTGCTTACTGTTCACTTTCTCCTCACCTGCTGTCTGCATCTTTTATGTAACCCCAAGGGGTCTGCATGACTTTCCATGGAAGGTACTTCTACAGTCACCATGTGCAGTATTACATCTGTCATGGTTTATGTTGTCTTCACTTGGGAGAAGAAAATTGCCTATGCAAACTTTATTCAGTACATTTTTAATGGTTGGTACAGTGTTCGAAAACAGGAAAATGTCATGTATTACTTTGGAGAGATGCTTATCTGAGATGCAGATAAAAAATAACATTGATTTACAATACTATATTTAGCATATAGTTTAATGTATGTTGTAGGTAGAAAATGTTTCTATTTCTCTTGTTTAAGTCTCATATCAGAAAATTAGTGTTGTGAAAATACTGGCTATTTGCAGTTTAATTATGACCATTTAAAATATCTTTTAACTCAAGCACAATGACAAGTGAAGGCTCCATCATCTTTTCTTGCCTTTTTTGTTATTTTTTTAATACGTTGTCATCTTCTCCTCCTTCTTCCCTCCCATACCTTGCACACAGATGTTACAGTTCTCCATTCAAAGCTTATGTGATGTTTATCATGTATAGTAATTGCTGTAAAAATGCCAGTTGTGATTGTGGGTAGAATTTGTAAAGCATATGGTCTAATGTTTTAAATGGATGCTTTACCTTGTAAGTATACCTGCATAAATAGAAAATATATTATATATTATTCTTGTTTACATGTAACCTGATGTTCCCAAATCCTTTATCCTTGTTCGATATTTTGTAAAAGAAAAAAAATAGAGAATCGCAAATGCTCTGCTGAAGCACAGTAAAAATATGAAGCTGGAGATAATAAAGAAAAGCAAATACAAAATGTTTTGTGATTATCTAGGCTTTCCTGATGGGCTCAGTAAAAGATAACTTTTCTATAGGGACTAATTCGTCATTATATCTTATTATACTGGTTTCCCCCATTTTTTATCAGTGGCTTCCAGAGAAGATTTTAAAAAACTTATCTCCTTGGGAACCATGCAAATTGACTTGCAACATAAAAATTTGTAGGTGATTATACGAGACTTATTCACAAATTAAAATTAAAGTTACAGTCTTGTGGTGCCTTGTGCAAAGCTATGGAGGTAAAACTGTACAGAAATTATTGCAAAACCCTGTAATCTTTTCCCTCTACTACATTTTCTGCTTCTTAATGTAGAAATACATATATACACACAGATACACATGCACACAGAGGAATGATCTTTGCACGAAAGAGAATTCTTTGTGAGTGTTGACATGAGGAACTTCTGAAAGAGATTTTAGTCTTAAATTTGCTGTAAAATGAGATGATACTGATCTTCATTGTCTTTTTAGAGTTTCAAGTTTTCCGTTTATATAGCAAGGTGGTGAGGCAGAGAGAATTTGGCCATAAAGAATCATGTATTTTGTAGTGTCGGTCAAACTTGGGTATCTGGGCTATACTGGTTTAGTCCCTTTCGGACATACCTCCCAGTTTTCTATGACGTTCCAAAACTTTTTTCATAGAGTTGCTT